AGCTTTCATGGAGTAGCAAGTGCACCAGTTAAGACAATCCCAGAACTTTTTCCCCTGCTACTCAGACCCTGTTTTGTTCTACTCCCTTAGTTCTTCCTTTAGGAAGGCTAGAGCTTATTGCAGGGAAAAAAAAGTGTGCAATAATTAGAGGAGTGGAAACTGTATTTTTCTATCTATAAAAATACAGGGAAAAGGATTTCCATTTTGTTTCCAATCCTTAAATCAGACTATAGATTGATCCAAACTATTGGCTGTGAAAAAAAAAACCCTTGCAGTTTAATAAGGAAACTGTGCCAAACTTAATAGTTGTCATCACAAACAGAGTGAAAAATCAGTATTAGGTAAAGACATCCTTGAACAGTAAATATATTTTATATTTTGAGGTTAATTTTTTCTCAGAAAGAAACCCAATCATGCACTGACCAGGTGGATATTGTGGTATAACTAATGTGGGATTAACTTGACACCCCATCAGACTTCATGCTGTATACAGAGAAAAAAGCAACACTTTTAAGATAATAGTGATGAAGGTGACTTTAAAGTTTGGGAAGGAAGGTGTAGGTTAGGAAACTACAAAGAGGATTCTTACAATTATAATGATGCAGCAATGTGGGAGGCAAAAAACAGCCCAAACAAATGTGTCCTGTATTAGTAAAGTTGCAAAATAATACTGTACCTGCTTAACAGCTTTAGCTTTCTTTAACTCCTGACCTGATCTCTCATTGAAAACATTTAGTTCATCTATCTTCATCATCACACCACTTGTTTCTTCTGCTGTCTTATCAATTGTTCTCTTGATCACCTGGACGTCATTCTGTTTCAAAATAAGGCATATTGAGTCTAGTTCAGTAAATGTAAATTCCAACAAAATCTACCAGTTAATTTTAAATGAGATACAAGTCCTGGAACCAGGAACTCTCATCATCTTGTATCCATATGCTGCTCTGCAAACAGTGCCTGGGGCATGGCAGTGCTCATGCGGAGTGCTGGTGCAATACTGATGTCACTGCTTGTTTTGTTTGGAGTGTAGTAATTGCTATTTATACATTCAGCCAATGAGGCAATTCTAATAGACTCATGCATTTTAGTCTAGATAAAATTGTCTCCTGACATGTCTGGCCATGACTTTGATATTTGTAGTTCATCTTCGTAAAACCATCTGTCCTTGGTAATACTCCAGAGTAGGAATAAATTCGTGGAGGTAGTTTCAATGTTTGATTACACTCACTGCTCAAATTTCCCATCTCCTCAAAACTGTGTGGGCACCAGTTGCCCAACATTAACTGGAGATCCATGCTGTGACAAGATTTAAAGGGATCTCCTACAAGTAGTTTCTTCCTCTCACTAAATAAATTGTTTTCTTAACTATCACTTTGAGAAACCAGTGGTGATGTTTTATTAAAAACCTGACTTTTGTCTTTCTATGGTTTCTCTTTGAAAAGAGGTTTCTAAAACTGTTAAAATGGAGCTGATTGATACACAAAAACTTTTCTTGTAAAAAGAAATTATACATTTGCTACCGAATAAGTGGCTGGTTTATATCTACCAGAAAGGTAAGTGCATTTTCAAAGAATCAATGAGGATCACTGCATAGGAAAGCCAAAGAACAAGCATGTGTGTGCAAAGTTCTCACATGGGAATCAAACCAGCAACATACTCTTTCTGAATTATGTATCAGGATGAGGTCAACTAACTCAAATACTGTCCCTTCAGTTCTGTAATGTGACTTTGTACAACTTTAAATGCAACTGTACTAATCAATTTATGAAAAATATAAAATAGCTTCCCAGAACTGCATGCTCCTATTCTGCATGGCCCTAATGATAAACTCAGACATTTGCAAGCTCTCAGTCACAGCCTGATGAAAGCTAAACTTGTGTTTCCAACATTTCCATGCTTGTCTTCATGCTAAGATGTCTCAGTTGGGCAGTAATGACCAATCTCTCTGGAAAGTATTTGGAATATGTGAACTTTTTCACACAGGGTATGCAAAGTTAAGGTACCTTTTAATCTAATACCAAATTATTAACTAATACCCAATCTACTTAATTGACTGAGGTTTCTAGATGTTACACAGTCAACCTGAGGTTCTAAGGAAGTTACCTGAAGTTTTTTGTGCTGTGCATGTAAAACATCATATGCATTTTTCTTTTCTTCTACAGTTTTCTTAAGTTCAGCAACTTTTGCTTCCAAAACTTGTCTTTCTTCATTAACCTCCCCTTCTAGCCGTGACAGCCGTCCCTGTACTTGCTGAAGATAAAAATCCTGTTAAAATAATTTTTAAGAGAATTAATAGTATGAGATAAGCAATAAGCTTGGATCTAAATGTTGGCTTTAGGACAGTCACTCAATTAAGCTATTGTTTTTATAATAATTTCTGGCTTATAGACCTCATTAGCAAAATATCTTAGATGACTGATGAGCAGTGATGGTTCAGGAGTAATCTTGTAGAAGAGTAACAAAGCACACTCAGCACAGGCTGCTGTAGGGAGGCTTACAGTGCAGTTGCCATCTTGCTGTTACCAGTAGATGCTGATATAAAAGAGCAAATTTTCAAAGTGGTGCATAGGAAATATGCACATAATCCAATTAGTAAATAACAGGATTTTGGCATGTACCTCTTGTATTGCTTTAAAAATATACCCCGAGGTATCTGTGTTTCAGAGGGATCAAAGTAAAGAATGGATTTTAGAAATTAGTGGGAAAAACAGCAGATCAAAAAACCCAAAAGAAATGCACAAATGCTAAATGTAGGTGATACTTTAGCAAGTTCCAGTTGTTTCTATTTTATCTATACATCTAGATACAGAAATTAATGCAAACTTCAAGTTTTACTGCATGGCATTTCCTAAATGGTAAGGTGTTAGAGCAGAATTCAAGCTATTTGCTACCATTAGACTCAAGAAATAATCACGGTATGAAAATACATGAATATTTTACCTGGTTGTATATAAATTCTTGTTGTTTTAACACATCTGCATCAAGTTTGTGCAGTCGTTTCTTGAGATTTTTAAGTTCCATTTGATATACTTCGATTTTTGCTAGAACTCCCTTCTCCTTCACGCTCTGCTCTTGGAACTCCTGAGTCTTCTGGAAAAGTAGTTCCTTTAACTGTTTTACTTCAGTTTCTTTTTCCTGGTGACAAATAGATAATTAAGTAGAAAGAGGCAATTAATCACATCAGAAATAATTTCTGAGGAATTATATATAGGAAATACATAGGAAAATTAAAAATTTTAATACCATATCAATTAATATGAATATAGAATTTCACAGGTCTTCAAAATGATTCTCAGAAAAGGTCTTTCATAAAGTTGTAGAATTATAGGGGTTGGAATGGAGCTTATAGATCATCTAGTCCCAACCCCCTGCCCTGGGCAGGGACACCTCCACACTACACCAGGATGCTCAAGGCTTCATCCAACCTGGCTTTGGACACTGCCATCCACAGTTGGTGCATCCACAGCCTCCCTGGGCAACCTGTAAATCTTTGACTTACAGAAAGTAATATTTTTTTAATTCTTTTTTTTTTCTACACTCTAATCTTACCCTACTATTACATCTCTTTTTTTTTTCCCCAGTTATGGGAAGGCTACTTTTTACAGCCTTTCAGAATACTAAATTCCTATCATCCTTTTAAAAAAACCTCCCTACCTCCCTATTGCCTCTAGGATAGATGAATATTTGAAGAAATATAATGCAAAGCTTTTCAACGGTTTAATAAAACTTGTAACTCTGTGTATGCACATGTGTGTTTATATAAGCTGGAATAATTCTGTTTGAAAAATTACATATTTTAAAATCAGTTCCTTATCCCCAGAGGTAAATTGACATTAACACCTTAATCAGTGCAGGAAATGAGGTTTTAGGAGGGTCTGTTACAGTAAGACAATGCTGAATATTTCACGTAACCCGAAATGTACTGAAAGCAAACAAAATTGAGATTATTTTCTTTTTATAGCCCTAACAAGGAAGACAACTTATTTTTTCATTCCCTCCTTCCACCTCTCCCACCCAAAGAGCCAAAGACCTTCCAAAGCTCAGGCCATTCAGCATGGCAGTTTCCTGTAAGGTACATCCTACAGTGAGTGATGCGACTTCCCAATCCTGCTCCAAAAAGACTCATTTACATTTACCTCAAGCCTGGTACAGAGTCTGAAGATGTACATTTAAATTAATATGCAAAACACATTGTTAATCCATGTGTTTTCCTGATTTTATCTGAGCACAGCCACCTTGCTGGCTTTAATAATGGTGAAAGATAACTCCTTTTCTGAGAGTTTATAATCACATTCCACATTCTACCAAACAGAGTTTTTTTGTAGTTGAACTTGTTCTAAGTGCAATTCCAAATCCAAAATTCAGGAAGTAAAAGGCAAGTGTAAGTTTAATATGAAATTTCTACCGACTGCAGTAGATGTCAGTGAGCTTTGGATCATGCCTGAACAAAGGAATTTAATTTTGGAAGCAAACTGGGTTTTGTGCATGTGCCCAATGCTGAGCTGCACTTCTGAAGCTAATGACAATGACAAATTTGTATACTAACATGGGATCATAATTTGACCTTCACTTCATGGTTTTTCATTCATATCTAAACTAATTTATTTAACAGAAATGGTTTTTCTCCCTTTAAGTGAGGTTTTTAATAGTGATAAGATATTCAATGAGCTGCACTGTGCAACAGCGTTTTGCCACAGATTGAAGAGGGAGAAGTATCACAGAACTAGAGAAAAAAAACGGTGACATGTCATCCACATTGTTCCTGTAAATATCTCTTCACAGTAAATTAGTAGATGCAGCAAATAGCCATGTGTGTCTAATGGTGATGGAAGGCAAGCTTCTGACTAATGCAGTACAGATATTGTTCAAGAACAGTTCATCCTAGCTAAAATATTCCCCTGAAGCTGTGGAGCTGCCAAGCTCAATGTCATCTTAGGTTATCCGCCACAGACGCAAGTAAAGAAACCCTGCTAAGGGTTTAGCCCCCCTGGGAACACTCTTAAGGGAAAGCAAATAAGGTTTTCATTTGAATGAAATGTTATACCATTACAACTGTTTTCAAATGATCTGAAAAGGCAAAACAGGAAGGCCTGTAATTTAAGAAACTCTATAAAGGAAAGACATCCCATCTCTAGTTTCTGAAAGCGTGTTTAAAATGTACAGTTAATGCCTGTGGAGTTTAAAAGTTTGAAAAATAATGTTGAATGTAGTGCAGGGCATTTTTGCACATACATGCTACAGGAAACACAAAATAGAGGGGAAGAAAAAGTCTACAGTGTTGTGCACAGATACAGCTTTGTTGTCACTTGTGTGGAACACCTGCTGTCATATTAATTCAACCTGGTCATTCTACAGTCATGAAAGCTTCAGCATAGCCAATGCTCAGTTGTCCAGCAAAATGAAAATAACCCATTTCTATCATGTCCAGTTAGAAGCTAAGTAATAAAAATAGTGTTAGAAAACTAGTAGCAAAATGACAAGACTGTATAAACCTTTTCAGAAATGCAGGAAAGTTCAGATGACGGTTTTACAACATTACATTTACTCAAATGTCCTTTGCAGGTCATCAGGTCATGATGAATTAGGATGTTTTATTCCTGTACTTAATTTGCAACATAAGAAATGGGTTTTGAATTTAAAAAGTATCATTAGAGATGTTTAAAAACTAGTCACTTTATTAGAGCTTGCACATGCCACTTGCCAGGTCAAAATCTGTATTCATCATGAAATCTGAAGTGAGCCAGTAATTATTTAATAGTCCACAGCAAGTTAGATGTTGCAGAGTATCATGTGGTAGAATTAAACTAATGAGGAGCAGACTAGGCCAGCCAAATCAGATTAAAAGATTTCTAAATCTTCTTTAATCCATTTGCCAAAATCAAATCTCTTTGCAGATTTATAAGTTTGGGTGGTGCTTTACTGGAGCCAAGATATTTTTAGTGGCAATGTTAAAAGTCATGCTGACAAGATTCTCACTAATAGCCTTATTGGTGGGTATCAGTATTCTATGTTAATATATTGTTCTGAATCACTAGGATCACTGATTTTCCTCCAGTGTTCTCAGCACACACACTGACATATTGTTTGATGAAACAGCTACATGTCATATTAATACTTTAATTTAATTTTGATGCATACATATTTGTTCTAGGTAGAGGTTGCAAATTCAAATGAATTGTCATTTACAGAAACCACGAAAGGCATTTTACCCTGACACTTTCTTCTTCTTCCTTCAGTATGTCTTCCATCCTCGAAGCTTTCTCTTCTGAACTGAGTGTCTCCTCAGTCACAAGCTTCAGCTTATTGGAAAGACTTGCATTGGTTTCATTAAGAAAGTTTAATCTAAACAAAATGACACGATTTAACAAGTTAAATGTATGTTGCATAAACAACACTGCCAAAAACAAGCAGCATACCTGACTGAGCAGATGCCTAATAGAGCAGGCTAAACTTCAACCTATGATAACCAAGGCTCTAACTGATTTTCCCATGCCCTTCAAAAAGAAGGATTGCAGGAGTCGGAGGCTCTAATAATCAACATTGTTGAAGGTTCTTTACTATCTCAAGGATTTGATTGTATTACTAATCCTTACTAAATATATTTTTAAAGGTCTGTTTCTTACCTTGCTTGTTTTTTCTGAATTTCTTTCACCAGATTGCTTACTTGTATTCTCAGATCATCTAGATCAGAAGCAGTTCTGTTCACAGTGTATTTCAAAGCTTCCAGCTAATAAATTACAAAATAGAGCAATTGAGCTCTCGCTCACTCTGGTACATGTTAGCATATTTCAAATTGCAAAGGACATATTTCTTGGAAAGTATTCCATTTCTTGTTAACAGTGCTCTCCAAATGAGGAGTGCTGCAAATTCTAAGGCAGTGTAAATGGGCACAGCTAGTAAACTCAGTAGAGTATTTTATATAATCTGAATGCTGGGAAAAAAATATTTATTAATTAAGAACACAGAATTAATTATGGAGGTGCTTCAGGCTGCAAGTCTCTTCCAATGGCATCTGTATAAGTAGAACTGTGCTTTTATAGTGCACTGCTGACTTTGATGCGGTTCTTTATGAACCTTATAGATCTCATAAATATTTATATGTCAATTTTTTTGGGTGCATAAAATTATTTTAAGTTAAGGGATCACTGTGACAAAAATACAGAGATATTTAATTTGGTAAAAAATACATGACAGCATACACTTATAAACAGGATAGGAATACTTTGCAATCAGCAGCTCATTCATCTTTGGCAGTATCACTTAACAGCATAAGTGTAATTGTTTTCACTTTCACACATGAAGAAACCTGATCAAGGGCATGTGCAGCAGGTCTTTCTGTACCAGAATGAGAAACTGGGAGGTCACAAGTTCTCAGCTGACCTGTCTTTCTCTCCTTGTTTCTCACACACATGCCACAGATATTCTAACACCTAATGGGAGACTGTTCTGTTATCCCATCATGGAGTAGTAATTGTGAAAAACTTCAAGCAAGAATCTCAGCTTAAGATGAAAATCTACCAATTCTGTGAACCCTCAAGTCTGCATGAATTATGGGGTAATCTGATAGCCTACACCTTGTATGAGCTACGTACAGGTTAATTAGGAGATCAGTCTACAAACCACCTGCTGCAGAAACCTATCCAAAGTTAAGGCACCAGCAGATGCAGGCTTTGTAAGTATCACTAAGTTTGCTGAGTAGCCCAGTGTTACCATTTTCTTGTTAGGAGAAAACTCAGGTAATACAAGTGTATCCCTTCTCAACAGAGCCATGAAATCACCTCCTAGAAATACTTGTAGAAGCATTTAAGTAATTAAGCAGTGCAGCTCATTCCCAGTTCTAAGTGCAGAGTAACTAGGGACAACATCAAGCATGGCTTGTTCAAAGGGCAGCCCTGTCCTACTGCCTCTTGATTAGAAAGCCATGTGAAAACATTTGTTGTTTCCCCCAGGAATTGTAACCTGACAACAGGAGCCATCAACATGTGCTTCTGAAAGCACAGGACAGGAATTGTTTGGATTAGGGAAGAGATTTCTCTCATCTGTATACAATACTGCAGTCCACATATGTTAAAAGCAAGACACACCTCCTGAGGCATCTAATAGTGTTGCATGATTTAAGAGACTATTCATCCATTTTACACCAACACAACAGAAAATACAAATGAATTTTTTCACCACTTTCAATGAAAGGATTAAGTTGAGGGTTCAGATCCCAATAATCAGGAGTAGGATGAGAAATGTAGGCATTTTGTTGAATTATTAAGAGTCTAGTGCAAAACCAGAAGAAAGGAAATGCTATTCCTGTATTTCCTCCATCTAGACCAGAGTGATAGATGTTTTTCTGAACTGTTTGGTCATCCTTACCTCATCCTGCAGCCGAACCCTGTAAGTATCCTGAATTTGGTACTCGTTTCGGAGGCTGGCAGCTTCCCGTTCAGCTGAAGAGATTTTCTTCTCATATTCCATATTGTTAACAGTTTCATTTACCAAAAAGGAACTCTTCTCTTTCAGCATAATTTCTTTCTTTCTGATCTCCTGTTTTACGTCTGCAATTAGCTATCAGGATAAAAACATTTTAGATTTGCTTGCCTTAGTTCAGATGTGTTAGATTAATACAGGGCACAACCAGAAGATCAATTGTTCTGATGACTCCTATTTGCATGAGACAGCCCAGTTATCCCATCATTCTTAAAACTACTTTAGTCCACTGATACATCACAACACCAAATACTACAGTTGTTTTGGATGGGAAACTTCCATAATATTCCAATAATTGAGAAAAAATGTGACACTATAAACTCACATGAAAATAAAATAGTTTTTGATTGAATAGGGAAAACAAGATAAAACTTCAGATAGACTTGAAACAGAGGAAATGCAAGAGGAGAATTGCCAACAATAGTGATGCTTACTTTACCTGACAGATTTTCAGCTATTCAGTGAAAATTGTGTATTTTGAATGGTTAAATAAAACATTAGATAGTGGAAAAATTATACTGTAGTTCTGGTGTTTACAAAACCAAAAAACCCGCAACTGATACGGATCAGTTACAGCAGTTTTACCAAAGCACATTGATCAATCTGTTGGTCTCGTTTTTGCATCTGTTGTATTGCATTCTCCCACTGCCTGATGACTTCTTGCCTTTCTTGATGAACTCTGCGAAATTCTTCTGCTGTCCTGTCAAGCTCTATCTGTTTCAAAGAAAGCACACCCATGATTGCTCATGTTAACAATGTCACATGTAACAAGGGATCTTCAAGAACCTGAAGCACAAACCTGAGCTGTTATGGTTTCTGTAAACTCATTATCAAGAGCTCTGTGCTTCTCATTCGCTTTCATGGTCAACTTGTCTACTTGAAGGGTTAATGCCTAAAGTGAAAGGATATGAAGATGTCATGTAATTGAAAACAAATAGATTATGTCTTATAAATTCTTAAAGCTCTGATACAATGAGGGGTGGTATTATCAGGACATGAATTTTATTGTGTTTTAGAGAACAAAAAGCTGACAGTCTGGCCTCCCAAATGTTCAGTCATACAAGAGGCCAGAATGTTGTCAGCCCTTGGGACCAGACTGCAGCAAGGCCCAAGTAACCCTCCACTGTGTGTAAATGCATATGTGGTGTCCTCAGCATCAGCTACTTCACTTTACACTACTGTGCTGTGTGACTGCTAATGTAAATGACACCAGTGAGACTGTTTGTATAAACTAAAGTTTTTGGGTTAAGTATTTAATGAGTAAAATGAAATTTCACTGTGTTTCGAGGTTCAGAAGAATAATAACCAGGGTTACTTATCTCTAAATTAATAATATGCATGAGAACTAACACTTAAAAAGTATAAACTTGTGGCTGAAGTCTCTGTTTGTACCATCTTTCATTATTCCAGGTGGCTTTACTGAAGGAGCTGTACTTTGTTCTCAGTAATATTAACAAATCCAGTTCTAATGGGAAAACCTACACCATTTGTCTCTACTTGCTGTGCATTTTTGAACAAACTCCTCTTAATCCAGTGGCACTGTTTTCTAGGCTTCATTATCTATTTGTGCGTGCTCTTAGAAAAGTTTAAATATCAATTTTACCCAAGCAAATTATGCCTTTCAGTTTTGTAAAACCTCTCTTTCCTGATCTTTAAAATGAACCCCATGTGGAATTGCACTGTTGTGCTAAATGGAAACCAGTTTAAAAGCACTGTGGTACAAAATCTTGTCTCCATCTCATCTAACTCGATAACATACCAAGGTCTTCAAATGCTAGAATGGTTCTCCATTTCATTTCTGAAAATTGCTGTCATTTCTACTTACTCCTAGTTTCCCTTCATCCTGTTGTGCATACTTTTGGATTGTGATAAAATCATCATCTTTACGATTTAACTCCTTTATCCAGTTCTCCAGAACTTCCTCATCGCAGTTCATCTGTTCTTTTAAGTTTTCCAGCTTCCTAGTGGTTTTATATATAGTATTCTAATAAAATTAGAGAAAATGAAAGGGTTAATATCGAATGTCTAATATTCCTTGAAGAATAATTGAAGCAACCGGTTCAAGCTACTGTTAACAAGTTTACACACATCTTGTCCACAGGATTGCTAGTTTTTTTGTTTATTAATTGTGTATTATTCTTGAGGAAAGCTGTTAGACATCCTGGTCTTAGAGAAGAAACAAGACAGCAAGTTGCCACAAACTTAAAATGCAAATAATTTTAAACAGGAAAGTGAACCTCTGGGAAGGTATACCTATGTGCAGGGTATTTACTCCATAGAATAAAGTGGTCTGAGGCATCAGGAGGTAAAGGTCATCCCTCACTCACAAAGGTCCAGTTCTTAGATCCTTATCCTACATATCAATTTACAAAGGGCCCCACGTGACTGCGAAGAGACTTCCTGAGACAAAAATGAGAGAATCTGGATGTGTGGCTGTGCATCTGGCATTATGAACAGAAATATTTCAATTTCTAACCAATATTTGCTAAGTCTTGACCGGTGTGTGCAAGGAGATCCATAGTGCCACTCTATTTGCCTACACAGGATACAGCACATCCAGATCATCTACTTATAGCTTACAAGTTTTAATTATAATTACCTGTGCTTGAGTTATAGTATTATTTCTGCAAGTGCAACTGAGGACATAAAACTTTGTAATACAGGTTTTCTCTTCCAAAAATTTTAAACCTTACTTCTTGACTGCTTTTCTTTTCTCTTAAGGAAACTATCTCCTCTTCCAGTCGTTTAATCTCTCTTTTGAGGTGTCCATGTTCTCTCTCAGCAAGGGCTTTAAAGTGGTGTTCAGTTTCAATTTCATTCTCTCTGGCTCTGTAAAGAGACTGAAGAATAATAAAGTTCAGTATTTGACAATAAATAAAATGCATATATCAACAAAAATACCCTTTTTTTACATACAATCAAATCCCAAGTCAGAGATGTTGTGATTTTAACATGTACATACAGGAATTTTCAGAGAAACTTTAATGTTTGGATTTTAGTATCTCAAAAACATGTATTCTTATACCTGTATACACACACATTGTATCAAGTATCCACAGATCAACCGTTTCTAGCCCTAAAAACTCAATTCAAAGATTTTTCACGCAAGAATCTTAACCTTTTAATATCAAAATCTCAGTCTCTTGATCACCAGTGACTTGACATTAGATTCAGAAGACACAGCAAAAAAAACAATTTTAGTGTTCTGTGCTGGGACAAACCTCCACCAGTAGAGCAGTATGTAGCCTATAGCAGTATCTCTGTATTTTCTGATCTTTCTTTCTTTTAATTTCAATTAAAACTTGAATCTGGCACACACATACACACAAGAAAACCTACCCCCAAAAAACAACAAACAACAAAAATTATTCAGCTGCAGCAAGTTTCTTAAGACTTTTTTGCCTAGGGTATTTTACCTTTCACTTGAGACTCATTAGAAATCTAACTCACCCATTCTGACCAGTTAACTATTTCACTTCCTTTTTCATTTCTGTGAATTAACTGTTCACTAACATTTCACAACTAACTCTTGACTATTATAGAGATTATAATTTTATTTTTTCCCTTGCACTCATGTTATGTTTTCCTTGACCATATTTTTTAAATAGCTACAAAAGTCCCCATTTGTGAAGAATCCTAAAATGCATCCTTGTTGGCTTTCTTCTAGGTACACTCACTTGAACTTGGGTGGTCTTTTTAAATGACTATCAAATAATATCACTGAGATATGTAGTTTAACTTTTGTTTCCTGTGGAAATCCTGGAATAAAGGCCTAGTAAATCTCTTAAGGAAACTGGCAAAATATCTGAGAATCCCAGCCACAGAAAGATAATAAGGTTACAAGTGTGTCTGATAAAACAGATCTGCTCGAGCTAGTGATTTACCTGAGTTAAGCTTAACTCTTGTCTCACATATTTCAAATGAGACTTCATTGCTTCTATGCGCTCCTCAAAGCTGGCCACTTCATTTTGCAGGTTCTCTTTCTCTTTTTCCATCGTCTGCAGCTGTTAAAGAGTTAGAACTGTCAAATCACTATATGCAGTTGAGTGCTTCTTACCTGCAACTACTTAAATACAGTCACTGCAACTACTTTCAGAAAAAACAACATAAGAAGTACATGTTGCATTCTTCCAAAGCAGTGAAATTAGAGAAGAGAAGGTTGTGTGGAGACCTCATAGCACCTTCCAGTATCTGAAGGGACTACAGGGGAGCTGGAGAGAGACTCTTAGGAGCTGCAGTGACAGAACAAGGGGCAATCGGTAGAAATCGAAAGTGGGGAAGTTTACGTTAGATATTAGGAAAACGTTTTTCCCTGCGCGGGTGGTGAGACGCTGGCACAGGTTGCCCAGGGAGGCTGTGGCTGCCCCAGCCCTGGCAGTGTTCACAGCCAGGGTGGATGAAGCTTTGACCATCCTGGTCTAGCGGGAGGTGTCCCTGTCCAGGGCAGGGAGGGTTGGGGCTAGATGATCTGTAAGATCCATCCCAACCCCTAAAATTGTACGATTTCAGGAGAAAATCGCAAGGCAACGCGCAGCTCCTGCCCCATCCCGCCCAGCTCGGAGGATGCGGGGCGCGCTGGGGGAAGGATCCCCCTCCGCAGCTCCGCGGAGCTCTTGGCATCCCTCCCTCTCTCCCTCC